GGCGGGTAGGAGCGGAGAGGGCGTGGGTGAAGTGAAAGGCTGTGAGTCGGGGGAAAATTAAGTTATTCGGTGGCTGTGGGAGTCCTGGGCGAGAGAGGGCCGCCGTACGCTGCATGTCGAGTGGGGGTTGTTAGGCTGCTTTCACTCCGAGACCTGAATCCAGGCCCTTTTTAGGCAGTTGGCCTCTGCAGTAAAAGCAGATTCGCGGCGCCCGAGTAAAGAGGTGTTTCTTTTCACACAACATTACACAGAAAGTTTCCGTCAGTGATTTGCGTCCCTGTCACGTCTTGACTTCATTACACGCAGGTCTCTTTGAAGATGGTTCTGTTAGTGGTTCCAGTGAACTCGCCAAAATGGTGAAAGTTTGCAGCGTGAACGGAGCATGCATGGGGCTTCTCGTTCTTCCTTTAGTTATAGGGCTTTATGCTTTTAAGGGTAAGTGTAGTTAAATAACTTGATCCAGTGTATGCATTTTTAATATGCTTAAGTTCCTGCACATCACCCTTACTAGCTGTTTTCCTAGCCCACAGAGCTTCATAAAAGCAGTTGCTTTTAAAAGTAACCGAGTGGGAGCCTGATTCAAGCAAATACGTGGTTTTGTAGCCCATTTGATAGTGTTCTTTTTTTCCAAGTGTGGAAAGTAGAAGCCCATTGTTTTTTCATTAACCTATTCCTAAGGTATTATGCAAGAGGAGATGCTGAAAATGCAATGCGATACATCAGTGGAGCCAGGCTTGATGATAGGATCATATGGACAGACTGGGATGCAGGATTTAAGGAGGGTAGGCAGTATGGTTGTGGAAGATCAGGGGGGGCAGGTAGGTGATCGTACAGTCTGGTTTTTAAGGGACTGGTAGGTTTGCCAAATTACTGCTTTTTGAATGAACACACTCAGAACAACTTCAGAAATGGCAATTTAAGAATTATTGTTTAAGATAGCATTGTATGTTAATCTGTAAGGCATCTCATCAATGATGATGTTATCCACTAAGAAGAAATAACTTTTTCATAAATTTCACAGAAAGTGCTTTCAGAAACTTCTTGGCTGCTTGGGGACATAATGCTTGTAAATAGGCCCAGAAAATGTAAAGCTGCCAAGAACATAAAGGACAGCGCTTGGTTTACCTAAACTTGAGCAGGTAGCAGATGCTTTTACTGCTGAAGAATGAGGCTGGCGATCCTCACTTTGGCTTTCTTAATTAAAGAGTCCCCCTGGACATTATTAAAAAGGAAGGTAGTTCATGCCCTATTCTGGGCTGCTGCATGCGTTTTCGATTCTTGGCGACATAAGGAGGAGGGGCAGCAAAACTGTTACCATGGTCTTCCAGAGGGCAGACTTTGGCCTGTTCAGGATGCTGGCTGGGAAAGTCCCTTGGGAGGCAGTCCTCAAGGGCAAAGGGGCCCAGGAAGGCTGGGCCTCCTTCAAGAAGGAAGTCTTAAGGGTGCAGGAGCTGGCTGTCCCCATGTGCCATAAGACGAACCGGCGGGAAAGATGACCGGCCTGGCTGAACAGGGAGCTTTTGCTGGGACTCAGGGAAAAAAGGAGAGTCTACTGCCTTTGGAAGAAGGGGCGGGCAACTCAGGAAGAGTACAGGGATCTTGTTAGTTCATGCAGAGAGGAAATTAGAAAAGCAAAAGCCCAGCTAGAACTCAATCTGGCCACTGTTAGATAATAAAAAATGTTTTTGTAAGTACATCAACAATAAAAGGATAGCCAAGGAGAATCTCCATCCTTTGCTGGATGTTGGGGGGAACACTGTCACCAAGGATGAGGAAAAGGCTGAGGTACTTAATGCCTTCTTTGCCTCAGTCTTTAATAGCCAAGCCAGTTATCCCCAGGGTTTTCAGCTCCCTGGGCTGGAAGACAGGGATGGAGAGCAGAATGTGGAGCCCCCATAATCCAGGAGGAAGCGGTTAATGACCTGCTATGCCACCTGGATGCTCACAAGTCTATGGGGCCAGATGGGATCCACCTGAGAGTATTGAGGGAGCCGGCAGAGGCACTCATTGTAGTGAGGTGGGTGTTGGTCTCTTCTCCCAAGTAACAAGAGATAGGACAAGAGGAAATGGCCTCAAGCTGTGTCAAAGGAGGTTTAGATTGGATATTATGAAAAATTTCTTTACGGAAAGAGTAGCCAAGCATTGGAACAGGCTGCCCAGAGAGGTGGTGGAGTCACCATCCCTGGAGGTGTTCAAAAAACGTGTATATGTGGCACTTTGGGACATGGTTTAGTGGGCATGGTGGTGTTGGGATGATGGTTGGACTGATGATCTTAGAGGTCCTTTCCAACCTTAATGATTCCTAATTTTTACTTTCATTAAAAATAATCCAGCCACCAGGAAACACAAAATTACTACTCTACCCTTAATTGGTTTAGTGTTGGACTTGGTAAAGTTAGGTTAATGGTTGGACTGGATGATCTTAAAGTCTTTTCCAACCTAAACAATTCTATGATTCTATGATGCACTTTGCCTTCGGTTTTGTCAGTCACCTCCTTGTGGCCATTTACATGTTGTGAACTCAGTTTGACTATGTTCTGATGGCGTAATAGTTTTTGAGAAATTGTTTGTCTTTACTGGACTTGCCTTTTTTCCTCCTTCGTAAGGTCCGAGATGAATATCGGCAAGACTACGATGCTGGAAGAGGTGGCTATTGCAAAACTGTTCAATGCCAGTGAATAGTGAATGACTTATCAGCCTCACGGGGGAGCAAAATCTGTATTGTACATGTCACCAGGCACAAAGTCGGTCTGTTGCACACCAATTTATGTAGCTAGAAAGTCACAGAAACTACTATCTGTGTTCCTGTGATCACATAGAATGTTCAATATCTCTTCCCGTTTTAATACCATGATCCAAAGCATTGCAGAGTACATTAACAGAGAGGACCTGGGAGAAAGGTTTTAAGCAACAAGTGTGCATGAGGCTTTGGTCTCTAAATGCTGCTGTAACTACTAAAAGGAGCAAAGGATTAAGGGTATGGTGCTTTTTTTCGCTAGCAAAACTTGATTATTCTGTCGCTGGGTTTTGTTTACATTGGTATCACAGGGTGGAAAGTGGCGATAAAGGAGGATTGGTGTATGTTTCAGAGGTGAAAGGAAATGGCAAAGAGCCTGAAAAGGAAGTGGAATTTCTAGGGAAATTTTCCAGTTTCTAGGGAAGACTTAAAGTTGCAGATTTTCTGGGGTTACTGGAGTAGCATCCTTTTACACATGCAGGTTCCTAGCACACCTACACGAAGAGCCACAAGAAAACATGTCAGATTGATGAGCCCAGGAATCATAAAGTGAGAAGCAAGCCTAGCACAGAGCAGGAAACAGACCCCTGGAATCTTCTACTAAGTATAATGTGATTGCACAACATTGCATGATTCAGAACCATTTTACTTTGTGGGATACAGAGAACAGCAAGTATAAGAATTACAGTTGCAGTTATTTTCACGGTTGGTGTAGTAGTGTTTTGCTCCCATCTGGTAGCTCTCTACAGCCTTAATATTTGAGGAACAGTATCTTTCCTGTGCCTACAAGGGTGGCATGAAGCCAAGTTGTACAGTTACCCCCAAAAATCAGACATTTGAGGAATTGCGTGTATAATGAGAAAGTTTGTTCTCAAAATAGATTTTCTATTGAGAAACTTGATTTCAGACAAAGGTAAAAGAAGATGAGTTTTGGGAGGAGCCTTAGTTTCTACTGAGCATGTGGTAAGAATGGTAGAAGAATTGCACGACTGTATAGATTCTGCTACCCCCGCCCCGGATCCTGTTGATACTGCTAGTTTGTATGATGGGATTTTGATGTACTGCAGACATAGGAATAAAAATAATCAGTGATCCCAAGATCTGTGAAAATGACCTGCTGAAATGAAATAGTTTAAAAGGAACTGTTACAGGGCTTTAGATTTTTTTTTTTTTTTAATGGACTTCTGAGTTCTTTGGAAATGGCAATTCATAAGGTTTTGTCCAAATACCTTCTTGTCCATGACCCCTTTAAAACCATTAAAATACCAGGTATGTAAAAGTTGATCTTCATTCACTGAAGATATTGTTGGAAATCTTGATGTGTTTCTTGTGTACAGTTAGTCACAACTGTTACTGTAAATTGGAAATACAGTGTGGTAGAACAACTGTAATGAGACTGTGCTTACTTAGGAAACAAGGCTTTGGTTTTTTTGGCACATAGAGTAAAACTACATTTTCAGGATCACTTAGTGCTGGTCTGCAAACAAGACTGAACAAAATTACCTTTTTCTATATAATACATTTGATTGAGTTTACAGCCTGTAATCTGCTCTAGGGAATCTCTGAAGTTTATTTTTCATTGTATCAGTTTTGTATAAAAAATTGTGTTACCAAAAATCTAAGTCACTTTCAAATAAAGCTGCAACATTAAAATGGATTTTTTTTTTTTAACAGAATCGGTGAGAGAAAGGAGCTATATTCAGACTCTTGTCCACGTCCTTTATTCTAGTGTCTTTTAAGATGGAGAGAGTGAATATTCCTTCCCTTTGACTGGATTTTCAGTCTTGTTCAGTTCTTAACCGGAAGCTGAAAGATGTTTGGTTAATGCTCTTTATTCTGGTACTTTTTGGATTACAGAACAGAAATTAAATAATTTACTGATATTGAAGTGGACGTGAAAGTCCTTGGTGTGTAACAGGTAGTTTTCAAGGTGCACTTCCTTATAAAAATGAGGTTTAAAATTATTTTTTTATCGTAAGTGCTGCAAGACAGTCATTCTCAAATGAAGTGGAGGTGATAAGATTTTTCCCTCAAAACCATCACTGTCTTTTGCTGCATACATGCAATGTGTATGGAAAGATTTTGTTTTAAGTGAGATTTTCTATTTTGAGAGAAATTTCAATCAAAATGGGATTTAAAAGCATATGATATATCATGTGAAGTCTTAGTATCTCAAAAGTGCATACAGAGGAAATGGATTGAACATAGTTTGATTTTTGCCTTCCGTAATTGAAATCAGACATGGCTCTGCTGAAGCCAGTGCTTAACAAAAGTAGCTGAATTAAGTCTTTAAAACTTCACTGGGGGGCTTCTTTAGCTTTCTTACATGCCAGGTCGGTGTGATTAGGTTCTCTTGGAAGTGCAGGCTCTCCTGTGATTTTTTTGACATGCCAGTTCATTATGATTATATACACTTTCATAGAAGTTTAAGCTCTATATTAGCTTTTCTAAATACTTGTTCATCATAATTAGGTACTTCTATGGAATTGTATCCATAAAGACATACAGCAGCTAAGAATATGAGTGGCAATTTATATATGCCTTGATAGAAGAGAGACTGTTACAAATTAAGGCAGCGAGAGAGCTTCACTCTCTCCCTCAGCCTCATGCAGGCTCATGGTTTACATGATTTACATGCCTCTCTTTGGCACCAATAGCTGCAAATGAGGTTTGTGTTCACAACGTTTGAGTCTTTGTATTACAGTGTAAAATCAGTAGAATGTAAATTGGAGCATTAAAGGCCTTAATTTTCAACGATTGGCAAAATAATCCCTTTTACCAATGTACCCTGGCAGGCCAGTTTCAAGGTGGTCTTTAATATATTAGTCAGGTTCCTTACTACCCTGTGCAGCAGCAAGGTTCCTGCTCAGGTTGGTGCCGGTGCAACCACCACTGGTGTTAATGTAATGGTTCTTTCTACACAGGCAATTCTGAAAGACAAAATTATTAAAGTATTTAAGGTAATATCCAGCACCTCATCTTCCATATCTTGTCAGATTAGGCTTCTTGTGAAGGTAAAAATTGATGAACTCTACTAAAATCAACGTGGTTTGTACAGAGGCTTTCAGCTATATGGTCAAAGACAATACTAGTCAAAGGAAAGCAGTCCGTAGGGACTGAACATCTGATAAACTGTTGTCCATTTGTGTTTCTAAAGCACAAATTGTACCTACAGCATGTAAATGAAAAATAATTAGAGTGGGCATTTTTCTTTGCAGTCTCTGGGATTTCTGCTCCTAGCTGAGTATATTTGGTACTACCAGGTAAGTGCAGGGCCTGATATGACTACAGGTGAAGTACCAAAAAATGGGTGAAGACTGCAGACAGAAGCATCCTGGGCTTCAAAACATCTGTCATGTTTAGGAAGTAATGGCCTAGTTTATTAATTGTCTGCTTTCATATGTCTCCTGCCTGTTCCTATCTAAAGAAGCTTTTGCACAAGGGATTGGATATACTCAGAGCTGCTCTGTAGTAATGCACACAACTCCTCTGCTCTCCCTCTTGGGATAACTAGATGGTGTAAATGTTTCTCAGGGCTTGGGGCAGAAGGCCTCCCTGCCCTTGTCTGGCTAAGACCAGTGTTGAGTCCCAGCTTGTGACTGGCAGGTGTTATCTCTCTCATGGCTTCATCTCTTTTTCTGTCCCAGGCAGACAGAGGAAGGTTATTCGAGGTTGGCTGTGTTTGTATCCCAAGGTTTCAGTAGTGGTGCAAATTGAAAACGCTTTGCTCCTTTCTTGAAAACGTGTGCTCTATCCAGATTGGATGAGAAGCCTTAGTAAAGGAAAGGGACGGTTTCTTTTGGGGGGTCATCTACTCAATTTTTAAGAATTAACTTGTGATTTATATGCTGAGGTAAAAGGCTTCTAGCATAAAGCTCCTTCAAGGCTCATTTTCAGACCTTAAACTGATCGAACTATGGAAATGAAGAGAGCTTGCTTCTTTCTTCCACCTCCAGACACAGCCAACAGCACTGCACAAGGAGACACCATAGAAGTTTAAGTTAAGCAAATCGGTCGTGATGTTGTCTATTCCAGAGCCTTGTACAGCCCATAAGGGATATGTACACACAAAGTTAGCACTGTGCACTTCAGGTTCCCAGTATAGTGTTCCATTATAGGCATAACTAGTCATGATCAATTCTAGAAAACAGAATTTGAGAGAAAAACAGATCAGAAAAGTCTTTCATTATCACCTACATACATAATTTACTCTACGCTTGGCCCAAAGAGGTCTCTGCAGGTCCTACTTTCGTAATGCTTCACAGCTACATTTTATTTTCTATAGCACATTGTGGATCAGAATTGAGCATAGTCTTCTGTGTTCCATTCTAATTTCTGGGAAAATTATCTAGGTCTGGAGAATCCATAAAAATATAGTATTTGCATGTTAAGACCGTATAACTTCATGACTGTACAACTTCACCCAGTGCCTGCACCACAAGGTAGAAAGGGTATATTACATCCCTGTCAGAGTGACATGAAGAAGAAAGTTTGCTGACCTTCAGAAACTGCTTTCCCAAAGCAGGAGAAATCCATTCTTGTGTCAGGGTTTCACGGTTTATGAAGGTTACCTTCCTGCCACTCAGCTTCGCAACCTGCTTTCAAAGACGAAGATGTACTTTTACTTCAGTGAGGTAATACTCTTCAAAATTATTTTAGCTTCTACCTGAAGGTTATTTGAGTGTCTATTAGGGTTCCTTACAGAAAAAAAAAAAAAAGGTAAATAAGTAGCCAAACTCTTCTTTGCAACACTTAGTATTAAGTATGTTTAGATCTGACACAAATAATCTTTCCCTTTAGCAGAGCCATGAAATTTGAGTTTCAAAACGCTTGAGGAGCAGCACAAGTAAAATGCCAGATGGCTCCCTCTAGTGACTACAGAATTAATATGCTTTTATATTCTGACAGCAAAGACGGTTGCTGAAAGCTGTTTTGTGCAGC